GAATGATCAGAACATTAACAGATGTTCGATATGTACCGGGTTTGAAGAAGAATCTCATCTCTGTGGGAGCCCTAGAATCAAAAGGGTTCAAAATCATTGCAGAAAATGGAGTGATGAGAATATGCTCCGGTGCACTAGTGGTAATGAAGGCCAATCGGAAGAACAATAACATGTACTGCTATCGTGGTAGCACAGTTATTGGGACAGCAACAGTAACATCCAGTGATGACAAAGAGGCAGAAGCAACTAGGCTATGGCACATGCGCTTGGGACATGCTGGAGGGAAATTCTTGAAAGCTCTATCTAATCAAGGATTGTTAAAAGGCGTAAAGACTTGCAACTTGGAGTTTTGCGAGTATTGTGTCAAAGGGAAACAGACAAGGGTTAAATTTGGTACAGCGATCCATAATACTAAAGGCATTTTGGATTATGTACACTCTGATATTTGGGGTGCTTCCAAAACACCTTCATTGGGTGAGAAGCCGTCGATGCTGAAGTTGTATTCTGATAATCGTGGTGCTGTTGTAGGATCGGCATGCTTATCGAAGCCACTTTTGCTCATGAGCCCTTGAGAGCTCTGTCCTCGATCGTTCCTTCGATCATTTCGGATGGAATTGCGTCCTGGGCTGTTGTTTCTACGATCTGCATTGTATGGTTGATATCGATCTCTGTTCGACCGGGGTTCTATGTCGATATCCCTTTGAGTTGTGCCGATGGGCTTGTTTGGATAAACGGAACCTGAAGGGGTCCCCAATTGATCAACCTCGACCTTGATCTTTGACTGGTACCGATTATGTACATCGGCCCAGGTTACCACTAGATATTTAATTAAATTCTTCTTTAGCTGTCGTGATGCCACCGAACTTCGTTCATTCAAAACCTGAGTAAAGGCTTGAACAACCCAATCGTCTGTGACCGGTGGTAGTTCTATGCATTCCATTTGGAACCGAGATACGAATTCCCTCAACATTTCATTGTCTTTTTGTTTCATCTTGAAGAGGTCTGACTTCCTAGTTGTAACCTTTATTGCTCCGGCA